CCAATATCTAGGATATTGTGACTCTCATCCAACTCTTTGAGTTCCTCCTTCAGTGACCTCAGGAACTTCATGTTCACATTCGGCCCATCCATTGAAACTTGTAGTATCTTGGCTTGCTTGAGCTCTTCTGTGGCCTTCCTGAATGCAGATGCCAGGTCCTTCGCACACGTGTGCCCCAAGAAGCATGAAGTTAGGTACTGCGTTTTCACAGTGCCATCAGTAGTGTCATCCCAATATCGGACGAGCACATCCATCTGTTGCTTCTGGGTCACTTTGTTCAGCGACTCGTCAAATGAAACAACTATGAACGGCACACCAGCAAGGCTTGATAGAAGATTCTTACGAAAGTAAGGCGCAATACCGTGGCAAATCGTATACCCTACCTTGTCCTTCCCTAGATGAAGTTTTTCAGCGACTTCACATCCCGGAAACATGAGAGGGAAGAGCGAGGCCAACGGCGCTGTTGACCGAAAAGATCCGTGAGTCGCTACCGCGTTTAAGCACCACATTATTTCGGCCTTTGTCACAGCGCTCTTCAGAAGAAAGCCGCTCATCGATGTCTTCGCACTTGTGGTGGGGGCAGGCTCCTCGGGCGCGACTGTCCGGTCTTCGCTACATTTGGCCGAAGCGTTCGTCGCTGGCGTAAAAAAGGACAACATACCAGTTTGCGAGGCGCTCGACCGACACTTCAAACCAGCAAGATGCTTCTTGCTGGACGCACAACTGGAAACTGCAGTTCCTCCCACGTTGCTTAAAGAAAACGTTTTGCAGCACAGTGTGCAATGAGCACTGTGAGGATCATTCTGCACGGGCTTAATCCAGCTTGCATATTCCGAAACGTTCGGGTTCGTCCAGTCCGAATTAAAGGAGCACTTTCTCGCCGCCGACATTGTCAGTGAGAAGGCTTCTCTTCAGAAAAAAAACGATGAAAACACACCGCCACGGGAAGGTTCCGTCGTTCAAAACATGGCGGACAGAAGAGGTGGTCCAAAACAACAAAAGTGTATACCCAGCATGCCCAGCGCGCACTGCTCAAGGTTGCCAGGCCACGAAGAAAAAAAGGCCAAACTTGTCAACCTTGGCACTACTGCCCCACTGGCTTGGATTGGATCTGTCCCCGTTGGCTGTTTGCGCCAATTACGGTGAGCTGAGTGCGCGCTCCGCGCCGGGGAACAAGTCGCGAGTCATTTTCCCTCACTGGATTCTCTTTTTGGCAACATTCCCTGACGATTCCCTGATTTTTTCCCGGCGTGTATCATTTCCCTGACAATTCCCGGTTTTCCAGGTTTTCCCGGTTGCTAGACACCCTGGAATCTATGGGCACATAGCCGATGCCTCATCCGTGGTTGAAAGTGGTTTCTTGGGAAGTCGGCTGAGCGCCGACTCCGTTCACTGTAACCGATCGACGGCGCTCTGAGACTTCGTTGTAAGTGCGATTTTGTGTCATTAAAACATTGTATATTTTCGCGGTCACGCGGATATTGTTCGTTTTAAGTGACAGTTCGTTTTACGTGGGGCCGTTATATGTGGGCTCGACTGTGATACATTTATTCTTCTTCACAATTATTTCTTACAAATTCAATTACTTGTGTCGGTTACCGCCGATAACTGTGTTTACAAATCAACAAGGCAGCACTCATGCAGAAGTGACTGCCCACTTTGATTTGGAATTACTTTTGCTACATGCCCACCGTGCTGAAAGCAGCAAACAAATGGTGAAATCAGCCATCGATTTGTTTTATCTAACTCTGGAACTTGTGAGGGTGCTGACACCCCCTGTAAAGTTGTTTGCGCCGCGTGGCGCACGTGTCTCGCACAGAAGCTGTTTTTCGGGGGTGACAACTGCCAGACGATAGATGGCATTGTGTTCGCGTTGAGTACCACTTTTGGTAGAGTGGTAGCACCAGCGGTGACCCCTGGCGGAAGGAACGCCTTGGTGGTGGGCGAGAGTTGAACGAGCTCTTCTGCGCATGGTGGTTGCCGCGAACGGTTGTCTCATGCAGTGGGTCTGCCGTAGACTGCACCGCCTGCAATAGGCCCATGTGGTAAGTCAAGCGTTCGCGACGCCGCTTTGGGTATGTTAATGTGTGTTTCTCCTGTTACTGTGTTTCTCATGTTTTGGAGTGTATGGAAATTGTGTGTAAGGATTTATTAGTGTGTTGATCACAATTGATGTATCATTTGGCGGACGATAACGTTGTTGTAAATTAGTTGAATAAATGTATGTATGTTGTTTGGTTTGTACCGACCGCATCTGCTTTGTCTGTTCACTCTAAGAGCATGGCGGGGCGCTCGCTTCGTCGAGATCCCACACTGGCTGCCCAACGTGGGGCTCTTGGAGTATCGGACGACAGTTTTTGCGGTTCGGTACAAGCTTTTGTTTGAGCCGGGGAAGAGTAGGCCTAGGGGGGACTTTTCATTGCTAGCGTCAGCGGTGTGCTTTGTTGAGAAGCAAGGAGATTGGATTTGTGACGTCTTTGAATTTGTCGGCAGGTTGAGTTTTATTTATTTTTTTTGCTCACGAGTGTTGTTCTTTTTTGTTGTTAGTTTTCAAAACGTTGTCGAATTGGGACGAGAGCCATGCGGTCTGCATCCTGGGGTGAGCAAGGCCTAGAGCACGTGGATCGTAGGCTAGGCCCAAAGCGAGTGAGTACGGAAGCCTCATGGGTGGTCCAATTTCCTGTAAATAGCTTCTTCTATCTTTTTGGGCTCAGGTAGCCGGGCGTCGTTGCTGTCTTGTATTTCGGCTCGACGCCGGGGCATCGTGACACCGCCCGGGGCGGTGGACGCCGATCGCTCGGTAAACTGCTGTGTGCGGCGAGCGATAGGGCCACCTTACAGAGTGGATGTCTCCTCGCGGCTGCCTCTTCTGTGCCTAGGCTGGGTGCTGGGTGGATGCCGGTTGTTGCTGAGCGACTCATTAGGCCTAAGGCTCTGCGCAGCCGACTGTCGCGCGTGGCACAACTAGGTGGATCGTGGCATTGAGCTGTTGCGCTCTGCTTTTCTCTCTTTTTTTATCTTGAGATGCACGAGTTAGAAAAGTGATTTTTGTTTTATTTTGATGGGCGTCTCGGCCGCCGCCAATGTTTTAGCTAGCAGTACTGACCATCGTACCACGTGGCCGAAAAGCCTGAAGCTCCCTTCCCTAGGACCTGCTCGATTGTTTTCTTCCGAGTTTTTTTTTTTTTGTTGTTGTTGTTGATGTATTCAGCGGGAGGGATGTCATCCACAGCCGGCCGTCTTCTGCACATCGTCAGCGTCGCTGGCCAGGAATACGGTCGTGAGGTCGTGCGATGGAGATGCCTGGGACCTGCGCAACTGCCTACAGTCCGGCGCCCTCGTGAGTGCTGGTCGCAACTGGAAGACGTGTCGGTGCTAGCGACGGTTCGTCACGCCGACGGCAACATTGCTAATGTGGGGCCGCAACTGAGGTGAAGTTGAGCGGACAGTGCAGCAGTGTCAACCAGCGGCGGTGTCATGGTGCAAGAAAATTATGGACATGGGATGTCATTTTTTTGTTAAAGCTTGTGTAGCTGATCTTTGTTTACGGGATATGGTTTGATTTAAGGTTGGGGGAATGTGAAAGTGCTGACACCCCCTGTAAGTTGTTTGCGCCGCGTGGCGCACATGTCTCGCACAGAAGCCGTTTTTCGTGGGTGACAACCGCCGGACGATAGATGGCGTTGTGTTTGCGTTGAGAACCACTGTTGGTAAAGTGGTAGCGCCAGCGTGACCCCTGGCGGAAGGCAGGCCTTGGTGGCGGGTGAGAGTTGAGCGAGTCTCTTCTGCGCGTGGCGGTTGCCGCGAACGGTTGTCTCTAGCGTGGGTCCTCGGCGCGGGGCACCGCGGGCCTGCGCGTCGGGGGCCCTCGTGGTAAGCCAAGCGTTGGCGACGCCACCTTTTGTGTGCTCTTGTGTTATGTTGTTTGAGTGTTTGGTACTTCTGTGTAATGATGACTTAGCGTGTTGATAACGATTGATGTACCGATTCGGCGGACGATATCGTCGTTCAAATGTAGTTAAATAAATGTGTATTGTTTGGTTTGTACCGACCGTGTCTGCTGCATCCGTTCACTCCAAGAGCGTGGCGTGGTGCTCGCTCGCCATTTCGAGACCCCAAAGACTAAAGCATCAGGTATGTTTTGTCGATATTAGCGAGACCTGCTGCTTGCTTCGTCGCACCTGCTAAGCCTAACGCACCGAGGCAGTGTTCGGACTCCGTCGTCAGACCAAGAACGCTGTATATCCACATATCAGACATGCAACATCGCACAGCATTCTGTGTGTCTTCGGTGGAAATAAAAAAAAAGAAAAGTAAAGCTGCAGCAGGAGACACGAAGGAATGCGTCAACGAAAAATAAGACATATGAGAGCCACGAACAGCGTTAGAGAGAAACAGCCACAAAGTGAAGTTATACGCCAGCATGAGATTCTACAGATCTTCAGCAGAGCAACAAATTCATGCTTCAAGTTCCCGGTGTAGTTGCTTGTTCAATCCCTTTACTGTATTTTTAAATAAATAAACTAGCAATAATAACTACAATTCGTTGAGCAAACGCTGTGAATACGGTGAGCAGACGACACAGCGTGAATGAATACATGTGGGAGGGGGGGGGGGGGGGGCTAGGTGCCTTTTCTATTGGCTGAGGGACCTGTCGCATCCACAGTGCTGAAGAGAGCTTCTGAAACAGCACGTAGGTGCACGCTAGATGCAAAGTATGCCAATTCCAGCAAAATATGATGTAGCAGGTTTAACCTCTTGGCACAGTTTGGCAGAATTGGTGCAGCGATCACGTAACTACAAGTCTGTTTCTCATAGGAGTACTTTTGTCTACGCTAGCTGTTACAACGTTTGTGAAGTTCACCAGCATGAAAGACAAAACAAAAGAAAACAAGTACAGCACTGATCCTTGCTTTTTCCTCTCGGCTCACGTGATGGTGAACTTCGCAGCCGTTGCCCATAGCCACAAGAAATGTTGTGCAGCAGATAAGTGGAGCTACCTGGTTCCTGACAGAAGAGGGCACAACGTTCGCAGAGGCCCTGGCGTGCTGGACGGCCTGCACAGCCACTGGTGGTGATGGTGACCAGCCGGTGCCCAGGCAGCAGCCAGCTCTGGGCGCAGCCTTGCTCGAGCAAAAATGCTGCTGCACCCGAGCGCCGTGGCTGTGCCCCACAGCTACCAAAGCTGCATTGGGCCACAAGGTCACCCAGGGTGGCCAGCAACTCCTCCTGAAGCTTCACCACTGCGGGATCTCGCCTTTCCTCTTCACCGGGCTCAAGCTGGGCACGCAAGTTCTGTACATCATACGGACAAAATAATTAATATAATTCTAGGAGTTTCATGTCTCAAAATTACAATATAATAATGAGAGATGTCGCAGTGGAGGGTTCCGAAATTTCGACCACCTGAGGGTCTTTAGCATACACCTAATCTCAGTACACCTGCCCCAAAAATTTTCGCCTCCAACAAAACGCGGCCACTGCAGCAGGGATTTGATCCCGCAACCTGTAGGTTAGCAGGTAAGCACCATAACCACTTGACCACCATGGTAGCTCACCATACGAACAATCTGCTTAGCTCAAAGCAAAAAAATTAATGAATGGCAAAATATTGACATCAACGAAAAAAAACACTCTGGTTAAAGCCCACACATCATACATTTACCTTCCCATACCTTTCTAACGCCATAGCGTTAGAGAGCTCGAGTCGCCTAAATTCTGCCGTCGGTGTCCACACCATTGGTTGTGAGCGAAAAATCGTCCGTGAGCAAAAAATCGTGAAAGAAGCAAATAAAATAAAGAATAAAGCTTTCGGTCTCATTGAAGATCAAAACCGGGCCGTTTGCGTGGCAAGCAGGAATCTTACCACATAGCTACCATGTTACTTACAGCATTTTGGGAAAAATACTACATAAATGCCTTTTAGAAGAAGGAGTCTCCTTAACGCATTTTGTTCGACAGGTGTCATGACGAAAACGAGCCCATTCGCGATTTTTAGGCACATTTGGGAGGCCATCAAACTACATCGAAAAAGGCCGGGATAGTGCAGCCATGGCTGCTAAAAATACACAGGAACTTTCAAACAGCTTTAAAAATGGACAACTATGTTCATACAGCTGAAAACATATCATGCCTTTCCAGAGGCATTGATAAAGCAAACAGCAAACACTAGATAATGTGCAGCCATCTGCGAGTCATTGTGAGACTCTTTATGACCTCTCCACTGGCCGCCTAGATTGGGCGCTGCACGCGCCCGATCCAGGCGGGCGTGGCTTCTCAGATGGCAAGCGCACAGCGTGTATCTCGGAGGCCATGTGACTCTTGCTTTAAATCAAAAACTTGTATGTACCATTCGCACACGCGCATGTGTGTATGTGAGTGCGTGTGTGTGTGTGTGTCTGTATGGCATCTGTGAGACATTGTGAAAAACGCGCCGCGACTAGAGCAGAGCACCGTTCTAGCAGAGGGAAGCGGCCACACTGTACAATCACTGCATTACTATAGATACGTCGCGCTTGCATGCGCGTGCATGTGCGTGCATGTGTATGCGTGTGTAACAAAACATATTATTAAGTATGCACTTGGTGGTTAAAGGGTGCACTAGGGGCCGGATTTCGCTATCGCGTTCAACTCTTAAAGACGAAGCTTAAAGGGGCCCTCTAACACTTTTCACGACCTCATAGTTTTACATGTTTTTATAGCTGGTTGCGTACACTGATGGCTTAAGAGATAAAAGCCGCAAGAACGGCAGCGATAGGGCCACGCAGTGCAAATTTATTCAGCATATAGATATTAAAATACAATGAAATGGATGCTTACCCTCAACTCGATTTTCACGGGCTCACCTTACCGTGTTTCCTTCGCCCTCTGCTGTTGGAAGGCTGCCCAAATAAATGAACTAAAAGCCCTACGGTACAGGAAGCTCGCATGAAATATTGCCTGTTACGTCCAGCGTATTAAAGACGCCGTTGCGATGGTAACAAACAATGTGGTACTTGAAGACAGAACGACATGTGCGACACGAGCCTGCTCGCGAACACTTCTATAATGTTTTGTTGGTTTACTGATCTTTCTTTTTGCATAGATGCATATACACTCAAACCTCGTTATAACGAAGTTGAAGGGGAGCCATAATTATTTAGTTATATCCATTGTTTCGTTATATCGATTATAACTGTTTGTGGCAATGTATGCTCAGATGGGCGCACACCTATAAGCATGCAAAGAAGGAAACCGCCTCGCGGCCCGATCTACCGCTACGCGACCAGGCGTACCACGGAAAATAAACTCCGTCGAATCTAATTAATTCGAACTTTCGGGTAATTCGAACTCACGCTGAGGTCCTGTTAAAGCTATGTGTATACCTATGGGCGAAAACGCCTCGTAATTCGAACGTGCAAGCACTTGCGATAGTTAATTCGAACATACCGCGCTCCGAAAATGCTCTCAGCACCATGCCTAATCTCGCAGCGGCACCTCTCAACGCTGCGTGCAAAGAAGAAAAAAAAGAAGAAAAGGAAAGAAAATACTGTGGCAGATTGTTTGCTCTCTCTCAAATGTCGATCTGCGACACACCTGTGCCACGCTTCTCCCTTTTCCGTCTCTGCACGTAGAGACCCTTCTTCTTTCAAGGCCGTGCACAGAAAGAGGAAAAAAAAGAAAGCTGTCGCAAGAGTCCTCCTTTCTCGGTGCAGAGGGTAGCAGCCATGGTAGCAGCGGAGATGCAGTCGTTGCCGTCCTGAGACGGAAATCACTTTGCTCCACGGTGCCGCTTCTCGGTCATGTGACCCGCTGAGCGCTTCCTCAATCCTCTCCGCTGCTGTGAGGGAAGGACAGCTCTCTCGGACCGCGCATGGGCAGGGGCTGTAGGGTCAGCGCAGGAGTTTTGAAAGAGCCGCGCCGAACGAGCGTCAAAATCCACAGAAGACGATACACTTAACACACTACGTTTGGTGTTTTTTTTTTTTTTTTGATAGACTATTTGATAGACTAATTTAGTCCGTTATTTACATTTACTGACCAATTTTACTTTGTTACAATGAGGTTTAAAATGCATCAGTTCTCAATGAAGCTTTCAGAGGGAATTTCATTTACTTTGTTATATCTATTATTTCGTTATATCCCATTACTTTATAGCAAGATTTGAAGTGTATCAACGCTCTTACATATTTTCCTTTTCGTTTCTTCAAGTAATGGTGCCCAGATAGTCGCCGGCATGTTTTCCTCCAGCACATGGCATTCGGCACATTCTTTGACCAGCTTGGCAGTTTTCGAGCTGGAAAAGTCAGAGCTTTATTCTCTGTCGCTTTGAGTGAAAAAGTCATGCTAATGAAAAAATATATCCAATAGTAATTCCTATTTTGATCCAATGCCGTGATCACATTTAACGTTACATTTATTCAATCATATGGCAGCAACCTTCCGGCGTCATTTCTGGCCACAGTAGTTCTGGCGAGTGCCACTACAAGTTATGCAGTCGGCACCAATGTTTGAAAGCGTTAGAAGGCCCCTTTAAGAGTCCACAATTTTCCTGAGCTCTGGTAATCGAAACATGAGGTGCCAGCAACTTGAAAACACATATTACTGTATTTACTCGCATAATAGGCACATCCCCAGTTTGTTCATGAGAAATCAGATGTTTTTTATTTTCTCGTATACTAAACGCATTTCGAAATTGGCCGTGATCAGTAATTCTGTACCGTACTTGCACATTAACTGAAGTGAAAAAAAAAAAAGAAAGACCGCGGTTGCCTGAGCATTGGAGTAAATGCTGAGTAACCTTTGCACCGGCACCAACGTGGCTTCAGCCGCTAGTCTTCCACGTGCACTCTGCATGAAGCGTGCGATCACGTCCTCGTCAAGTGCAGCTTTTAGTTTCTTGTCAGAAAAAGCGTCGGCGTTATCGCATTTGCTACCTTCTCCGCAAATTTTAAAGCTATACGGCTTTCTGGCTGCGAGCTTCCACCTTTGCTGCCACTACGCAGACTTGCACAAGCTCGGTGCACTTTTTTCGACGTTGATTACTAGGACATGAACCTAAGCATCTTATCACGCAAGCTGTATGAGTGTGATCTTTTCGACGTGCTATCTTGATGTTGTCTTGTACAAATTTCCCGGGGCATGCTGAACCAGTTGGCTAGGCTTAATTAGTGTTGGTTGCTATTCGGTGGCGTTCGAGGGCGATCAAAGTTGCGGTTTTGTACGGAATCAACGTAACTTTTTATGGTGGGTCTACTTAAGAGAAGAGGGGGCTTTGGTGACGCTTGTAACACACGAATGGTGGCTCGCGATTCGATTTGCAATGTCTTAGATATGGTGTGGGAGCCCGCGAAATCGAAATAGTCATGCCGTTTAGTGACAATCGGAGAATAGCTGCGATGGCACTTTCTTTTCGTAGTTTTTTTTTTTTTTGCGTTCATTTCATTGAAAATGTGACTCTTTCTATGTTACTTTCTATGAAAATTTGAATGTACATAGCATCGTATGTCTCAATTTTGAGACACGCAAAACTGCATGCTAAGCATGTTTTGTGCTAGTATAGCTATGAAGAAGGCTGTTTTGGCTGTGGTGGGGATATTAATTTCGGTGACGTATACGTCATCTGCAGTCTATGCTGTAGATGGAAATACTTTTTCTGAAATATTACTTTGCGTAACAGGCGCACTCCAAACTTGGAGCCAGATTTTCTGGAAAAAAAGTGTCCCTATTATGTGAGTAAATGCGATACTACTGACTAGTGTGGGAAGTTGGGCAGGTTGATAACGACACATGACTTCGAATAGGTAGCGCATAATACACAAGTGCAAAACATTGAGATGAAGACCGAAGAAGCAGAATTTGTTGCTTGGCCTGTTGGTACACAATAGAAGAAACGAAAAACCACCTTAGGGATGCACACACAAGAAGAGAAGTCGACATGCACACACTGGAACTTGCAACAAGTTTAATGAAACCATCACACATAAAGCTCCTAGAGAAGCCAAGTCGTGCATGCGTCGTACAAAAAACACGTGATTCACCAGAGGAGAATGACATCCATAGGTCTCATTGGTATGTGGCTACCTTCTCTTAAAGCTGCTGTTAAGGCAGTAACTGAAAAAAAACTAAAAAAGTTGAAACGAGCAACTAAAGAAGGATGAGTTAGCAGTGCTAACAAAACTGCCAATGATGACCGTAAGAAAGTAGAAGTACAGTCGAATTTCGATAATTCGAACTCGAAGGGGCGCGAAAATTTGTTCGAATTAAATGAAGTTTGAATTGATGAAAGCTAAATAAACACAGGGCTCTCCATGAAGTGGAGCATGTGCATTGAGCTAACACACGAGGGGGAAGTTTCAGAAGACTTACATTTATTCACAAATCGCAGGACATCTGTTATTAATTGAAGTAATTGGTTATGCGCTTCTGTACACGTTTGCCTTGCAGCAAGTGAATTAATTTGGCATGCAGCTTGCAAAGCATGTCTACTTCGGCTTCAGCATTCTCCTGGAAAAAGAAGTTGCGCGCGGAAATGTCCAGCGCCGGCACTTTCTAAAGACGACGACAACAACGACAGCGTAGCGGGGCCTCCCGCTCTCCGCTACGCAGCCACAGCATAGAACATTTATGCAGCATGAGCAGCACTTGATGAGAAAGGAGGAGCGTCTCCACGCGGAGAGAAGCAGATCGGCATTTGAGAAAAAACCAACACACCACAGCAGCTTTTTTGTTTTGCCTCTCTTCGCGCCCGTTGTTGAAAGGAGAAGGGTTACGTGGCAGGAACGGGAAAGGGAGAAGCGTGGCACCGGCGCGTGAGAGGCCCCCTGCCCCCTCAAGACACATAGCCGTGCTCCTGCAAGGGGCAAGGGCTGCAGAAGATAGTGCCTTTTTCCTTTTCTTCAACCACACAATCATTCAACCCAGAACAGCTTTTTTTTTTTTTCCTCTCTCTTTTCGTGCGCAGCGTTGGAAGGAGAAGGGTCTTTACGTGGCAAGGACGGAAAAGGGAGAAGCGTGACATGGGCACGTCGCAGATCAGCATTTGAGAGAGAGCAAACATTCCACCGCAGCCTTTTCTTTCGCTTCCGTTTCCTTCGCACACAGGGTTTAGGTGTTGCAGGTGTCGCCGCGGGATTGGGCAGGGTGCTGAGAGCATTTTCGGAGCACGGTATGTTCAAATTAATCATTGGAAGTGCTTGGGCGTTCGAATTACAGGGCATTTTCGCCCATTGGAATACACATAGCTTTGACCGGACCTCATCGTGAGCTCGAATTAACCGGAAGTCCAAATTAAGCATGTTCGAATTAATGAGATTCGACTGTAATGCCTTACATCCACAAGGTCTCGCATAACATGAGAAAGGTTGCCCCACGGTATAGTGCTCGCGTTGTGTTTTTGGCACCTTGTAAGCTATCAAGTCTCTGTGGTAAGATTGATGGGTGGAAACCTTAGAGTAGCACGGATAAATGGGCTAGTTAGTTCGAAAAATTCCTGTTCTAGTGTCCTTGTCTGAGTGCACGCCCTTATGCAGTTAAAAGATGAACCAATACCAACTGTGAATTATATTACTGTATAATTGTATAATGGTTGTACTGTAGTTGTATGTTAAGTGTGAAACAGGTGGTGTACATTTGGTACTTTTCTCGTGTGGTCTCATCTACATAGGCCATACGGGACCAGGTTGCAAGAACATAGGAGATCATTGGACACCAAAGATAGTTCACACTTGCCCAAACATTGCAACTCGTGCAGTTGCAACCCCTTTTTTTGTGATGCTATTGTTTTATCAAAACACCTAGATCGGACCACCAGAGAGCTGATAGAAGTGTTTCACATTAACAGAAGTGGGAATAAATGCGTAAGCACACCCTCCATCATGTTGACAGAAAAAGAATTGTCATACCTCACGAGCACTCTGATGATCTGATTGAGGCACGTGTTTTAGAGCCCCATTTCTGTTTTTTTTTTTTTTTGTGTTTTACTTGCCAGGTCATTTGACAGAAGTGGTATATATGTATTTACCTTTCTTTTGAATAAACTTTAGTTGCGAGAAGGCGCTCTTGGTCTGCCCAATTTCCTGTTATAGTGTCCTTGTATGAGTTCGTGCCCTTATTCAGTTAAAAGATAAACCTTAGAGTGTTGTTTGTAGCGGCCATGAATCATCTTTCACAGTGTGCATCACGAAGGTTATTTATCACATTCCACTGTCGTGCCGTCATGTGTGTATATAGAACAAATGGCACGATGCATTAATGTCCAATTAAAATAACATGAAGCATCTATCAGGTTCAGGCAGAGGAGCAAATCTGGCCATGCTCATTGCCGGGTGTGCTGGCTGTTCTCTTGATCTAAAAGGTACACAAATAATTGGTAAGGGAACCACACAATACGAACCTGAAGAGATTGAAGCGTATTATATTTGGCAACATGGTTCGAACAAATGTGTCAGTGTACCTTTGCTATCAGTATCAAAGAGATGGCTTATTTAGAAAAATGTGGCTATTGATGTCATTCTCTCCTCTGGTAAATCACGCGTTTTTCTGTACGCGCACGATTCGCCTTCCTGGAAACTTTATGTGTAATGATTTCGTTAAACCTGTTCAAAGTTCCAGCACGTGTCTTTCGTCCTTCTTGTGTACGCATCCCTAAGCTGGTTTTTCCATTTCTTTAATCCCACTCATATGATGGCGAGTGTAGAACATTCTTTTTCTGCCTGCTGGCATCACGTAGCATGTGATTTTGTGAGCAGGCAACTAACCAACAAGCCCTCCTCTGTTGGTTCTCATTAAGGTTGTGCCTAACAATAAAAAATGGATCCCTAAACTCCCCTCTTTTCATTCATACACACACGCACATGCTTCGTGCATTAAAAAAGACATTGCTCCAAGTATGGCTACCCAAGAGGAAAGAAACAAGAATACAATAATCGTGATACAACAGCAGTGAATCTTCCTCAGAGCACACTTTCCAGGAATGAATGGCATCATTGCACAGACAACTTGCCTTCATGATGAACGGAGCGAGGTCTTTGCGGAATGTGACCCGACACTTGAGAAACCACAGTGCCACCAAGTGGTGGGCCAGGGCCACCACTACGTCGCTAAACCTGCATGAAGAGCAGTCTTTTCACAAGCTGTGTTCAAAAATAAACTCAGTTCAGTATTGCCATACATTTTACTGGTTGACCAATGGGTTCAAGGATCATACAAGCATCCACACTTGAGCTTGACTGCCGATGCTTATGGTTCAAGCACTGAGGAAAACAGCATGTGTTGTCCTAAATGCTACAGAGCATCTACAACTTCTATGCTTCTTGTAAACTTTATGCTTACAGCAATCCCATGCCTCTTATCTGTTGCTGCCACTGACACGTAGAGAAAAACCTTGCTAACTAGATTGAAGGTGGAGCCACACTCGCACCACTATACTCATTACTTTTATTTATTCTTTTTTTTGTTACCCTTAATTGCTGAAGCATCACCGAGGGAAGCAAGTTAGAACGTATAAAAATTCAAAACAAAGAAACAAAATGTGCGATATTATACAAGAAACAAAAACTAAACGGAATGAAAATACTACTTGATGAAGCACAGCAGAACTGAAACGTAAGAGAAAACACGAAAAACTTGATAAAACTTTACAGTTCTAGCGGCAGAATGTGAACATAAAAAAAAGCTGCAAAAACAAAGAGACAGCAAGAAAGTAAGAAAACTCTGGCATCTCAAAATGTGCCAAAGAAAACCGTGGGAAGATGGGAAATACATCAGGTGACTAGGGAGAGCTCTCACGAAGCAGGTGAGCTGTTAATGAATGACAGAAAAAGGACTGATCAGAGATAGAAACGATGTTAACCCGTAGCTGGTTCCAATCGTTTGATGTAACAGGTATGACAGCACAAGAATATGTGTTTATGTTGCAAAAAGTACATTTACCTTATGTTTGTGATCGATCTAAGATGAATGATAAATGGGAGGCGTAATGAGCTCAGTATGTAGTGATGGACGATGATAGATGGTCACGGACTGCCATTTTTGCGACCATGCATCACGCCAAATTAACAGGCACCGTGCTTCTTCCCCTGACCATGACACTACTTGGACATCGAAAGAGTTCATTTTTTATCCACGAAGGTCAAGCGGGGGTGTTCGTCTCAGACGTACACCACTGAGGATTAACTCTTTGTGTCTGTGGCGACGAGAGGCCACCGCTAAATTTTCTCAACTAAGGCATGGGCCACTGAATGCATAGGCTGAGAACCGAAGCAAGCGTCCCTTTCAATGGTTGAAGTAACACGCCGGCAAGATGTAAGCGATCGCCTCACAAGTTTGTCCCCTCACCCAGTTGAGAACGCACCCCGCTCTTGCAAATGGGCGTGGTTGTAATATATTTTAGGGTGGAGTTTTGAACAATGTCACGCGCATGATTGGACCCATATTGATGATCCTCTTTTCCTCCAAGAAGAGAATGAGGGGAAACGAAGGGGTTTATGCCCACGATATCGCTCTTCTAATCAGTCTGGTTGCTTGTACAACATGGAGTAGAAGAAAATTGTCGAGTATCTCTCTTAGAAGTTTTTAGTGTGGCTTAGTATCGGCTGGCCACCTGACCTAAGCCGTTTGTCTAGTAGAGACGCGTGATCAATGTCTGCCACATAGACATCAGAACTTCAACTCAGATTAGCTCAAGCTGCCTGGGTTCACCGTCAAGCCCCAGCTCCTGGAACATCAGTGTTTCAACGCCACCGGCATCGCTGTCGTGCCAGAACTCTTCGGGACTTCTCGCATCCGATCGTCACAAATTCAACGCTGCCCGTCATCGCACATATGCCATCACCTGTTTATACTTCTGTCGCACCTTTAATTACTGTTTATTTATTCAACTGTTTATTTCATTGTGTGCTAAGTTAGTACGTATTATTGCTGCTGGCTTGTAAAATCATTTGTTGTTGTCTTTTATATATATGTTTGTAGTTGCTTTAAGTATTGCATTCCATGTGCCGCATACAAGTATGTTAAATTTATCATTTTGTTTACCCACACATGTCCCTGATCTTTTCGTAGCGTCTGCTTGCGTACGAAACAAACTAACTTGCTGTCCTTTCCGCCACCGACTTCGTGCCGGCGATGCTAGAGTGGCAGCTTGTAACATATATCTTATGCAAAAGGCAAATACGGAAGTGCTTGTGACGTAGTGATAAAGCTGGCAGTGAAAAATGGTGCTTCATTGCTGTAATTGTAAGAACTATCTGTCGGCATACCATATTTACTCGTGTAATCCTCGCACTCGCATAATTCTCACACACTCCACATCGCCCGACAAAAAATAAGATTTCTTTTTTTTCCTCCAGTAATTATCGCACCCCCGAAAATTGCTGCAATAATGTCATCTGCTCGTTCCAACCACTGATGATAATAGCGTGTGCCATCTGGCGCCATCTCCTAAGCATAGAGCATACTATTATTGCACTGAGATTCAATCCAATCCAATCCGAGCCAAAGTGGCAAGTTCGCGTTGCGGCGTGATTTGGATGTTGTCTGTAATCTTGTTACGTTATGGGGCGATACGGAAGCTACACGGCTGCTTTCAAGCTGAAAGTGATCGGTCATGCACTAAACAACAGCGACAGGGCCGCCGGTAGGCCCTTCAGAGTAGACGAGTTTTGTGTTCGCTACTGGTGAGAACAGCTGAAAGCCATCAAGACGTGTTGGGCCTTCCGTGTGCCTAAGACTGGGATTGATGGTAAACTTTATTTCTTCAGAAGGAAACTGAGGACGATTCTGTTCAACAGTCATCAGCCCAATACTGACATCCTTCGCTTACCTTTTGTGGACTCCTGTTGAGCGACGAACGCTACATCTACCCCCGCAATGCCCACAACCTTTGCGTACGCTACTCTAATTCTCGACTATTCGCTTAGGCCTTTTGTGTCTCAAATAAATCTTGCCTTGTGTTGAACCTGTGCTTTTATTGTTGAGGTAAGTCTCAATTAGTAGTTCTCAAAGCTTGCTGGTAGTTTCTGGCATGAGAATCCTGACTTGTGGCCACGACTTACGAAAAAAAGTTTTCTTTTTCACTCTGTACGTTTTCGTGGAAAGTTTTCCTCGCGTAATTCTTGCACTCCCCAACATTGCATCGGTTTTCCGCCAAAAAAAGTGCGAGGATTATGCGAGTAAATACGGTACATATTTGTTTACCACATGGCCTTGCTTTTGAACATGCTGCAAAGTTTTATGATTGTCAAAGTGGCAAGTGAGAGTAGCTGCTTCTCGATGCAGCACATGCACTTCTAAGTATAGCAGATATTGAATTTCGTTTGCATTTGAAGCTGGTTAGAGGTCAATGCATCGAGCAGCAGTGAACCTGAGGAGACTGCCTTTTTGTCAGGCTGATTCTAAGAGTGATGACGTCCCGAACCAGCCTAAAACATCAATTCGCTTTGCTCTCTGCTTTGGCCCATCTCAGTTCGTGCTTCAGCATGAGACTGCCAAGATGGGCGCTTATCAAAACTGCCAAAAGAGGTCACGACCAGGCAGGGAACAATGGGTTTACTGCAAGACACGCAGCTATTGTTCAACATCCCAACAAAAGGGCTACGACAGGTCAGTATGCCCACCTTGCAGGATTTGTGTACGGCAGGGCGATGGCAAACACCTTACGGTACTGGGCAGCCACAAAGCTGGCATACAGCTGAGGCACACGGATCAGGCAGGCAAGGAACTCAAGCACAGGCAGCGACACTGCCACAGTTGGTGACAGCTGGGCCAGCCGCTGCAGCAGGTCAGGAAGCACCTTGGCCATGGCAGGTCGCAACTCCATGGCTGCCAGGGCAAGAGCTCGGAGGCATAGCCCAGCAGCAGGCTTGCAGGCAAGACCAGATTCCAGCACGTGCAGCAGCCAGCGTGGAGATTGAGCATCCAACTCTTCTCGATATAACACCAAGGCACTGGCTACAGGATAAAGCAGGGCCTCCCCACCGGCAGCGCGCACCTTGTCCAACAACTGCCGGTCACCGGCCACCTATAGAACAGCCATTCCGCCCCATGTTCGAGTTTTGTGCTTAGAATTTCATAAAAATTTAAAGTGCCCCTGCAACACTTTTCAAAATTGTTCAGAAAATGCTGCCAATCTGTAGTCAAGGTTCCCAAGACACTCGAGCCAAACTATGCAGCCCGAGACCTGGAATTAGCAATTCCCAAAGTCAGCTAAAAACTGCTCCCTGATCCCTATAGAAATGGCCCGCATTACTGCACCAAGTCCAAGGCCGTTCCATGATGTGAGCTGTACGGTTATAGAGGCTGCAGCTTATAGAGGCTGCAGCTTATAGAGGCTGCAGCCTTCTACAACATCTCTCATAATCGTATAATGGTTTTGGGACGTTAAACCCACACAATTATTATTATAACATCATTATTAGCAGGGTAAGTGAACATTGATGGATATGTGGGTTTAATGTCGCCGTAGTAGAGGGCTGCAAAAGTTTCAACCACATGGTGTTTTTTAATGTGCACCCAAATATGAGCACACGGGCCTTGATTGATATGTGGGGTTTAACGTCTCAAAACCACCATATGATTATGAGAGACGCCATAGTGGAGGGCTCCGGAAATTTCGACCACCTGGGGTTCTTCCAGGAATGCCTTGAACAACTATCTATCACACATGAGCTGCCAGAAAATGGTTTCCTGAGGTTTTTGGATTTAATACTAACATTTTCAGCTGTTTGTTGACTTTGTTGTTGTTTGTTTGTTGAGCTGAAATGTTGACATAAGTCCAACATTTGTTGGACTTATGAACCACGGGGGACAAACTTCTTTTGCCGTACGTGTCTTTTCACAGCAAACTGATAAAGCATGTATGTAATTGTAAAAGCATGTATACCTAACGCTTCAACAAAACCTTGCTTCCACTCGGTACAGGGAAGTTTCGAGAAGTTTCGACAATCAGATTCTCCATCTTGAGACAGCAGGCTGTTCCAGTTCGTTGCTAGTTTCTGTTTGTGAGAAGCTGCATAGGCAGTCAAGGGTATGTAATGATGGGGACGCTTTACAAGAAACAACTCCCAAGAGGGTGACAGTGATACCGCATCTACATGGTATCTCACATAAACTCAAGAAGATAGGCCAAAGAGCAGGCGTGTCAGTGGTTCTTTCCACATCGAATAAATTATCTCAGTTATGTGTCGGAACTAGTCCCGTGGGAAGCACCGTGAACTGCAAGATTCAGCACCGTAAAAAGTTTGTTGAGTGTGCAACGGGGATTATTTGTGGTTTACCTCTGTCTTATGGGCTAGAGTACATAAGTCAGTCAGGCAGGTGCCTTAATGTAAGGCTTTAAGAACATAGCCAGAAAGTAAGAAGCGCAGCATGGGACGGTTTTTTGGCTGCTCATTGTTTCGAATGTGGGTGCCAGTCATTGTTTGAAAAGGCAAGGGTTCTCGCGTCCCACCCTAACGAATGCACAAGACTTAGGAACAGTCGAATCTCATTAATTCGAACACGCTTGATTCGAACACGCTTAATTCGAACTTCCGGTTAATTCGAACTCACGATAAGGTCCCGTAAAAGCTATGTGTATTCCAATGGGCGAAAACGCCAAGTAATTCGAATGCGCAAGCACTTGCGACGGTTAATTCAAACATACCACGCTCCGAAAATGCTCTCAGCACCCCGCCCGATTCCATGGCGGCACCTGCGACACCTCAACGCTGCGCAAAGGAAATGAAAACGAAAGAAAAGGCTGTGGTGGAGTGCTTGCTCTCTCTCAAATGCCGATCTGCGACGTGCCCGTGTCACGCTTCTCCCTTTTCTGTTCCTGCCACGTAAAGACCCTTCTCCTTCCAACGCCGTGCGCGAACAGAGAGAGGAAAAAAAAAGAAAGCTTTCGCTAGGTTGAATGAATGTGTGGTTGAAGGAAAGGGAAAAGGCACTATCTTCTGCAGCGCTTTCCCCTTGCGGGAGCACGGCTCTGCGTCTTGAGGCGGGGGGGGGGGGGGGGTCTCTCAAGTGCCGGTGCTACGCTTCCCCCTTTCTTGTCTCTGCCACGTAACCCTTCTTTCAAAGATGCACGGGAAAGAAAGAAAAAAAAAGCTGCCGTGGAGTGTTGATGTTCTCTCAAATGCCAATCTGCTTCTCTCCGCGTGGAGACGCTCCTCTTTTTCTCCTCACGTGCTGGCCATGCTGCGGCTGCGTAGCGGAGAGGCTCCCGTTGTCTGTCTTTAAAAAGTGTCCGCGCTGGACATTTCCTCGCGCAACTGCTTTTGCCAGGAGAATGATGAAGCCGAAGTAGAAATGCTTTGCAAGCTGTGTGCAAAATTGGTTGACTCGCTGCAAGGCAAACGTGTGCAGACTCGCATCACCGATTACTTCAACTATTAATGGATGTCCTGTGATTTGTGAATGAATGTGTCTTCTGAAACTTCCCCCTTGTGTGTTAGCTCAATGCACATGTGCCACTGCATGAAGAGCCCTCGGTTTATTTAGCTTTCATTAATTCAAACTTCTTTTGATTCGAACAAATTTTCGGGCCGCTTCGAGTTCGAATTATCAAGATTCGACTGTATAATCGAAGCTGCAGCAATCGCTCGAGGCAGCTGCATCAGCAAACTGTCTATAGTTTTATCTGAAAAAGAAATGGCGTATTCAAATTTAGCACGTGAGGGTCCGGGGCGAGCACTTGGTTTCTTGCAGTCTCTTCTGGCTTTTTTGTATTTTGTGTGTTTTTGTTTTTTGCTTAAGCATGTGATCTTATCTTTTCTGTAACATATATGTGCATCTTAGTGGTAATAAATAAGTTGAGAATCTGCGCTCATCCTCGTCTCCTGTGCTTGTTTTCTGAAATTTTCGCACTGAGAAGTTTAATAATGGATTACCAACTAGCCCATTCCCACACTTCACTTCAGCAAAGTATACATTCGTCAGAGTAACAGATTAGTTAAAGTGAGATTAATGGAAACTTTGACTAATGGCACTGGTGGTGGGAATGGGAACCCTGGCATGCCGTTTCGTCTAACCATTGCAGAACCTGAGTGCTTTCATGTGCAACGTCAAAGTTTGTTGAAGATTTTATAGGGTATATGACATGCCCTATTCCTCTACAATCTAAGTCATTGCACTAAGACTTAGCCATGTAACAAAAAGATATTTCATATAATATGGTCTATATTGTTTAATCTTGGGTGGTGCCCTTTGGTAGGGCCCCAGCGGTTTCTGCACTTCACCAGAACTGGTCTCGAGCCTAGCACTTGTCTTCATTTCTTCTCTTGTCCTGCATCAAATTTTTGCGCTAAGTGATCTGTTATGCATTACCAACATGCCCCCCTTCATACTCCTGCCAGCTGGTTTTCCCAGTACAGTTCAAAGAGCAGTACCTCGCAAGACCACGCTGCGAATATATGTTTTGCGACTCCTAGTCAAACCTCTTAGTCTGGCTGGTCAGTTCGCTGAAGTGTTATGCAAGATATGATCGCGGGGTGTTCGTTGCACCATGAACAAGACCTGGCTGGATATCTGCCTGGAATGATGGCGTGTAAGCAGGATAAACGAAGATGCATTGGTTTGCAGGCAACACCAGTCCCTGGGCTGTTGCCCACTGATGCTTAATGAGGGAGAGCACACAATCTTGTTACTCACTGGTCTTACAGAGTTTGTCTGCTCATGGTAGCTATCCATTGTGCTGTGACACTTTCCGTCAAGGGGTTGGAAGGTGGTGATGTTTGCAACCCAGTTAAAAGAGGCCAATTTAAACATTAGGTCACTGAAGTGTTTCACATTTATCCCCTTCCAAGTAACTATGTAAGTCGACCATGCATAACACAAACAATAACAGAATAAAATATGTTTCACATTCACATGGCTTATGATCTTGATGGAAATTCACTATGCTGTGTCACGTGCTAACCCTAAATCACGCACAACCCACCACTTCGTCTAGCCACTTTCCAAAACCAAGCCGAACTCCCCATTTCCCACACACGCCACCCCCACAACTCTTTGTTCCTATGATGATGATGGTGCCATCATGTCTTGCCCTCTCTTGGCCAAGTCCCAATGATGATGATGATGGTGCCGTCACGTAACGCCTTCTCTTGGCCACCCTCACAGCTGAAACATCCACTAATAATCAATATCTGGGGTCTGACGTCCCAAAACAGCAATATCATATAAGAGAAATTGTAGTGCAAGGCACCTGCAATTTTTACCATCTGATGTTATGCGCTGACATCCACAGCACACGGGCCTCAACCATTTCGTGTCCACCGAAATGTGACCGCCGCAGCCAGGGTCAAACCACAATCCGCTGCGTGCCTGCCCAGTATTCTACCACAGAGCCACGCCAGTGCTTGGAACTCAGTAAATAAAAAACACCAATGACACAATGGGATTCGAACCCGGGTCTTCTGCGTGCCAACCCAGTATTCTACCACTGAGCCATGCCAGTGCATGGAACTCGTTTCTAAACTGGCCTTAGGCAGGCTTGATGTCTGAAAAGGAATCGCGTTAATATGAGTAATAAAGCATTTTAGAACATCAAAGGAACAGCCATCGTCACACAATGCGAATTGCGTAATGACTGGGTCGTCCAATGCTCCAACCCTATAGAAAACTTGTTTTTGATCACCTATTAACTGTGTAGCATGCCCATTTCACGCATATTTATTCGTCATCGTCAGCCACTGCATAAAGAAATTGCCCAAAATTTTCAACAAGTGTGTAGAGGATACCATGCTTCTCCGAAGAATGACGAACGATAGCATAGTGAATGGGGGGCCCTCTACACAAAATTTACGATTATTTATGATGCAGTAATTACCCAGCAGTATGCTAGTAGATTCCCAAAGAGTGTTTAGATAAGGTTCTGAAAGGCTGCTCTTCTAGCCTTCGCTGTGACTGTGGTGCACGTTCCGTGAAGGCTTGGCTTTTTTTCCCGATGGCCAACGCTTTCTTCGCTGCTATCGGTGTAAACACAGTGTATTGCTGTAAACTAGCTTTCCGTTTCCCGGCCACAAGTTCGGTCAAAGAAAGAGTTTCATCTTCGACACGCCGCCTGCTTCCTATGTCCATGTCAGGACCCTATTACATTATAAATATCACATAAGTTATCCCATGATACCTACCGCCATAACGTTGGGTTAACATCATTAAGCATCATCCACTGAGGTTGATTTATATAGCAGGGTCCAGGACTATCATCCTAGCAAGCGCAAGTGCTACATATCAGCTTACCACTTCTCGTGTTGTTAATACCGCCTGTTGCTGTTGGCATCATTACGAAACTAAACAACTGGTTATATAAAACATATGAGGCTCAGCATAGGTAGTGTATACAAAATTTGTACATATCTTTTAGTGTAATTTCATAACGTTTCCCTCAATAAAAAAAATTACAATACAATCACCAGCTCTCCACATGCCTCACATAACATCGATATTTAAGGTGCAAAAAAATCTGCTGAATTTTTTTTCCAGTTTTTTTTTCACTATACATATCAGTGCTGTTTTGTCAGTCATGCAGGGCATATAAAAAATTATGTGCAAACTGAATAAGCTTCATTGTAGAGAAACAATGTAACACAATGAAGACATGACAGACCAAACAGGTCCAGTGCTGTTACTGTTTGGTATTTCTTGTCTTCATGGTATTGCACTGTTTCCTGTTGTGATCAGTATGTACTAACAAGCCCAATGTTCATTCGGTTTTAGAGTTCCACAAGCTTCCATTCAGAGCCAGGCACTTCCTTTCCCAATGCACATCTTGCGGCACCATTTCATGCCATCATGAAGTCAAGGTACTGACGTGGGTGTAAAGCCAACTGGAGAGACGGCGCAGAGAAAGCTGGCCACATAACACCACTGCCCGGTCCCGCAGCAGGCCTGGAAGCCCTCGCAGCAGTGTGCTCAGCACAGACCCATCAGTCTCCTGCACACAGCAAGGCAAAGTGTCCATTCATAAACGGTGCCTCATGCGTCATCTTGCAGTTTCAGTGGAACATAAGCACAGCAAACAAGGAAATGTGCAGCATGTACGTACACACTCTAGGTAAGGCAACAAATGTAGCTAAAATTAGGGAGGCAGTCAAGTTACAGAAATTTCACAACCGTTAAAAACATACTCCCGTCGAAAATTATTTCCCATCGCAAGGCTGACATTGATGGTTGCAATACACAAGATCTAATGTTTAAGTTCAGCATTTAATTACTTCACTGTGTGATAACATTTAGAGCCCCTCCGGTATCTGGGTGCAGTCAATGTGATGTATTGGCATAGTCAGGGGGGTGGGGAGAGTTTGTGGGAGTTCAAACTCCTCAAAAGTTTGACATTTTGTTTGTGTATTATATGTATACATGCACACATATAAACACATAGGATCTCCCAAAAAAAGGCCGGACTCTCTGTCCAAACATTTTTGGCTACGCACCTGGTGTGATGAACATCCCCAACTGTTGCATTAGCATAGACGTTTCAAGACATTACTTGATGTAAGCAACGCTCTTTACTGATACTATCAGTATTAGTTACTGGGCGACAGCAGCAGGGGTAATCCAGAACACATAACTTCAGTAGGTCAGGTTTTCAAACGAAGTGTTTCTTATGTTGTAAACCATTTTGTTATTGTTACTGCTGTTTGCCAGCCTACAGGTCTCCTGCATGTTCTAAAAACCAACACTCTTATCTGCAGGCTGTCAACATCACTCAGGCAAGAGTAAAGTTTTCCACTGGCTCTGTGTTGCACAAGAGCCAGTCAATATTTTATTTTATATTCCTTGAAGGGGCCCTGCAACATTTTTCCAAGTAGTCATGAAATGAGTTCAGTAAAGGAGCTCAGTGCCCCACAAATTGACCATAGCAAAAAACATTTTGAGAGTCTGTTCAGTACAAGTTGAGTTCAAAAGATTTGTCGCACACTGCAATCGCTTCCTCCCTTCTCTCAAACCAACGAGCGTGCTGTAAACTTAGTGGGGAGGGATGGAACAAGGGAAGAAAATATGTCACGTGCGCCTTTTGACTTGAGCATTTCTTAAGCTTTTTTTTTTCTTCTTCTTCGAATGCCCAGCTTTGCAGTGTGATCGCGCGTCCCCGCAGGGACAGGTCTCGGCCTCTTGCAGCGGCCCCAGTAATTCCCGAGTGTGCCATGCTCAAGTCAGCCAATTGCGTCATACGGGCCAGTGACGCAGCGATTTTTGAGGATGTAGCATCATTTGTCGACAGGAGAAAGCAATTTCTAGCAGACTTCGAGAATTTGTTGTGAGTTCAAGGCCGCGTGCTGATCTATAATATTTGGCTCGCTTGTTCCCAGGGGCCTCGACTATCAATTAACAGCATTTTGCAACCATGCTCAAAAGTGTTGCAGGGCCCCATTAAGAAAAAAATCTGCACAAAACGCCAACATTTGCTGGGATATTGCAAAAATTCCTTGCATTAGGAATGAATATTCAAGGTTTTTTTTTAATTATTTCTTTGCACAAGGCAACGATGACAATGTACTTTTCTCATAGGCTTTTCATTTAATACTTTTCAAGATAGAATTTATTTGTCTAAAGCATACTACACACTTTACTACCAAGCAGCAGTGTATTTAATTTGACGAGTTGATGCATTAAAAAACTTGGAGAAAACCACACTACAGTCAAACCTCGTTAGTATGTACCCGCTTTACGCGTACTAATGGTTAAAACGTAGTTGCAACAAATCCCCAACAGAGCCTCATAGAGACATGCATTTGCCGACCGCTTACGCCGTAGTGTTCGGCTTATGCCTACCAGCTAGTGCATACTTACTGCGTAATGCGGTAACATTTTGCTCCACAAAATTTTACTGCGCCACTGGACTTGCAGACGCCACAATGCGCCGTGAACGATTTTCCATCATGTTGATAAGTGTAGCGATCAGTCGATACGTTATTAGGACTTCTGCGTGATTGTGGCGATGACATTGCGAGTAATCATTGGGGAAAAAACGACGGCAAGGTGGCGATTACCAACAAACAAAAAGCAGTAAGAATCCCCAGTTATCTGCTCGGGCACGCATGTGGTGTAGCGTCACTTTAGGCCTACTACACGCTTTCAGCAGGCGACTACATGAATGCGCTGGGCCACCGATCACTGCCGCTTCGTTGCGCGGGACCATGTTCAAGCGTGCACCTCTTTTACAGAAACGCAAGCAGCTCGCCGATGCGGACTTCAGCGTTGCGGGTTGTGGGCACCTAGAAGCCTTGCTGTATTATGCCAACACATGCATCGGGCAGCAAGCGTAGCACTGTTGTAACTACAGACATCAGACTCTGGAGTTTCGCAGACATGTAGCGCCACCTGTTGATGCTGAAAATAGTGCAAAGCACGGCTCCCTTAGACAGTTTGTTATTTAACAAGGTGCAACTAGCCCGTACGAAACAACGATTGAGCTAAATATTAGGCATGTTTGTGCATTGTACATTCGGAACAAGAGCTACGAATTTCTCTCCACCAGTCGGACACGTCACCAAACCACCATGAAATGCTTGCTGATTCACTCGCCAGAACGACGCTAAAAATAAGAATAGACGCAAAGACTTTAGTCATGCTACTGCAGCGTTGTGCATTGCCACGGACATAAAGGACTTCAGTTTTACCAATTCCCGTAGCTGTCACGAAGCAGAACGAAGAGAGCGCTGGATACGGGCCGTTGTGAACGTGTCCGGTAAGCAAATTACTCACGTTGCCCACGGCTGGTCGCATGAGAAAGAATAATAATGTAAGCCTCCTGTTGTTTTCAGTAGCCTTGATGACAAACCGTGGTAACTTCGATTATGAAGCTCAACAAAGCCTCTGGTCGCGGTGCACGCCATGTTAAATGCAGACTGGTAACACGGGCAGTAAAAATCGCACAAGACGCGCCTACCGATAATCTGAAGTGGTCGCCAACCACACAGCATCGTGCACGTACGCTTTGAAGGCTCCAAGTTCCGGCTTAAACTAGCAAATGCTAACATTTGCGTCATACGGGTAAATCACAAAATGTTCGTCGTGACCATGATAAGGTTTTTCTTGCAGTTGGTCTCCGCGATTGCTGAAGCTATCCCGGAGGCCTCACTTTTGCCTTTAGTTGTACACTGAGAAAGCAAAACACGCATGTATCCCCATTTGCAATATATACAAACAGAAAGAAACCATCTACAGAACTCTCCAGAATGCATAATAAAACAGTTCAACGCACAAAAAGCGAGAGATGGATGGAGAATGCAACTGCAAAGGCTAAAATCACCGGGGCCATGTAATAAAGCGACTTCACGAATAGTAAGATATATTGCTTGAGTATGTACTCCATTGCTTTGGTATCATGTGTACGCCCAAATTTAACGCATTTAGGCGTTAGAGAACGCACGTCGAAGTTCTTGCCTCAAACCCAATGTCATGGGATGCTCACTTGCACTTAAGTTGCGAGTTTCAGCACGCTGAAAGAAACTGAAACGTCTTTGGTGTTGTACCCGCAGTTTGTTTCGATGAGCTTGCTACTTTTCTGAAGCAACGTTAGAATGATGTTAGAAGCTTGCCAGGTCCTTCATTATCAGGGAACCATGCCTCAACATCAACGAAAGAGGAGGGCCTATGCATGTTCGCTTGCAGATGGCTCTTTTTGCAATGCCTAGTTATGGCCAGCGCTGCGATGAGGGTGCTGGTGGCGACATTTTTCGCAGCGCCGGCTGGGCAAAGTCTGACGCCTATGCTGCACGCTTTTATTCAGCGACAGCCCAAATGTGCCTCCGTCTGTTGGCCAGACTGCTAGAGAATCGTGGAAAGCACATTGCTTGTGGAAAGCTCTTCGTCACCGCATTAACTCGGCAGGCTACTAGCCACATTTGTGCATGGCCTTAAGTAGACAATGCGTACTCTACAGCAAGCGGATCGGGAGTCACAGTGTGCGCCGAGTGAGGAAAGCCCTGCAGGCAACTAGCCATGCAGTAAATGATTTGGCTCTCTGCAACCGTGCTGCGACCGTACTGCGTAAAAAAAAAAGAAAACTGCGCCACTTTTTGCTTAGAAGCAGACTGCGAAACAACTGTATCACAGACAGCCGATTGTGTCCATTCTGTCGCTGTACCACGCTCCGTATACCACAACCCGCAGCTGTTTTGAAATGCTCATCGGCGTCGCCACCGTGCGATAGTCAGACTTTTCTGCACTTCGGAAAAAAGAAAAAAATGGCTTCGCAGTGGGCACTTAAGGCAATATTTCTCATGGCACTGACTTTCTTCGTTTGTTGGCGATGATCGCGCATCTCAGGAGATGCAAATTTGTAGCTCGTGGTAATATTCGCAGTGCATTTAGTGCGTAGTTATGCTGTTGTCCCCAGCAGGTATGTATTAACATAGATTCACTGTAAAAATGAGAATCGAGACTCCTCTCGTAACTGCATTGTCTTTAGTGCGGTTTTCTCAAAGTAAAGTTGCACTCAAAGAGTGAGTAAAATTAGTTATTACAGGAAAGCTGCAGCCAGACTGACTAAAAAATTTAACAATATTGTTATGTAAAAATGACACGAGGCGTGTCTGTTTAGAATCTATATTGAAACTGGTGTGTATAGCATCGACTAAGATGGAGGACAGCACGCACAACCGACAGACTACTTCCTCGTTGTCGTCTTCTGACCGCTGATATGTCAGCTACATAGCATTACCCCACCGGCGGTAAAACAGCCGTCTCGGTGCATATTAATTACGGTCTTCAGAAGGCAGGTGGTGAAGTTTTAGCCTGCTGACGTGCACAACATCACTGCGTGTGGTTGCAGGCAGGCTTGTGGTCTCAGATGCAGGAATGATCTCATAGGTGACGTCGTTTACCTGGCGGATGATACGGTAAGGACCCTTGTATCGAGACAAGAACTCTGATAAACCAACTGGACACCACAGGAGAACGAGTGAACCGGGTGAGAAGCGAACGTCA